AGTAGAGAGGAGAGAATTCCCAAATAGAAAAAAGTCCCCCTTAAAGGCAAGCTGCAGTAGGATCCACAGCCATCTGGGGCGTGGACAGATCACAGAGAGTGGGCTCACGGGCTCAGGGAGAAGAGATGGGTGAGCGGAGAGACGGGCAGGTGGCAGCCATGATGCTGGGAGTCCACGGGCATCATCTTTGGGCACTTCCACTTTTTTCCATGGGGGGAGTTTTAGGAATGAGATGAACATGGGAAATAAAAGACCAGAGCATGAAGGGGACAGGGGAGCCTGTGAAGTGACCAGCACTACAGACGCATGTGGCAGCCAGCTGGGTTATCTAAGGAGAGAGAGAGTACTCCGTGAACCGTGTCCAAGTGACAGGGAGAAGGAGTCCCAGGCTGTTCTCTGCAGTGTGGTCTGTTTGTTTCACTGACCTTAATATGTGACCTTCACCTTCTGTGCTTGGCATAAACAGCATCAAGCAAGATGCTCAGCAGCTGAAGCTGCAAATACATTTTGCTGTTCAGTTCAGACAGCCACTTCCTTAATCTCAGTTAATTATTCTGAAGGAACACCCAAAGGAAATCATGAAGCATATTCTTAGAGTGTTCCTGTAACTTGTCAATTGAGAATCAGATGGGAGTTTAATTTAATGACTCGATGCAAGCGAGCAGACCCCTCAGTGAATGCAAAATTTCAGTTAAATCTTGTTAAGTTGGACTGTGGTGAGATCATATGCCAAATATTCCAAGCTGATGATCAGATTGTTTGTGTGCATATAACTCAGTCCGACTACACATCTGAAAAATAGGCTGAAGGGCAAACATAAATTCTCAGAAAATAGGAAGGGAAATAATCCCACTCAAAATAGGAGCTAAAAACATAGGCATGGAATCTATGGACGAACTCTAGAAAAGGTGCAGCAGCTATAGAAAGAAAAGAGCTAAAACAAACAACTGAGAAGCGTCATAATGGAGAAGCGCTAATGGAGAGTGCAATACTGGGGTCCAGTTTTGATAATGGGACTGCACCAGTCATTCCCACTATGATCCACAAATTCAGTGAAGTCTCAGTGACCACTATGGATGGGCTTGGATGTGGTTTGTCCCAGCCAAAACCCACAAGTGTGGGCTCCAATGTAAAGATCCTGAAAGGCCGTGGCGCCTTGATGAGGTGGTGTCTGGTGGGAAGCAAGTGTGGGTCTCCTGCAGTGAATGTGTTCCCAGGACCCAAGAGCAGGCTGTTACAGAAGAGCTGACCTGGCCCTCCCTAATTCCTTGCTTCCTCTCTTGCCACATGACCCCACCCCATGACCTCCTAGTCCCACCATATGATGCCATCTGTCAAATTGTGACATAGCCAAGGTGTTTGCCAGGTGCTGGCGCCATATTGTTTGTACTTTCCAGACCTTGGAACCCTGAGCCAAATAAACCTGTTTTCTTTATAATTTACCTAGCATCAGGGGTTTTGTTACAGCAATAGAAAATGAACTAATAAATAATTATAAAACATTTTTAACAAATACGAATAAATATTATTCTACAGTATTAATTGACAGTAATGAACAATGCTTTGTTTAAACATCACCACTAATGCAATGTGCATTATCTCTGAGCACTGTCCTAGGTGCTTTACTTACAGTAATTTACATAATCCTCAAAATAGTCTTTTGAAGCCTGAATTATTAGAAGTACCATTTAATGGGTGAGGAACCAAAGGAACAGAGAGATTAATAATTTTCCAAGTTGCACAGCTGCTGAATAAAAATACTGAGATTTAACTCAAGTCTTTGGATCCAAGTCCACTGGATTTCTTTCCACTGTCTCTACACCCATGGCAACATGAATCGCCAGGGCCTTTTTCAGAGACAGGATTTGATAAAGTAAATCTGGAACAATACACATGGGAAATCATCAGTAAAGGGCTGGAAATACTTGGGAATTAGGGCAGATTCAATTTTTAAATATCAAAATGCAGTTGATCATCCATTTGTTCATATACTTGTTGAGCATCTGCTCTGCCAGGTCTGTTCTAGGTGCCAGTGACAAGGAGTGTCAGAACTGAGGAAAGTCCCGGCTCCCCTGGAGCTTAAAGTCTTGTTGGAGAAAACAGACAAAGAAATGAACAACTGTGTATTTGAACTTCCAGGTGGTCTAAAGCCTTGAGGAAAGCTGCAGCAGAAGAGGGAAGGAGGTGTGTGGCAATGGGCAGGGTGCTTCTGAACACAGGGCTCAGGAAAGGCCTCGCTGGAGTGACACTTAGCAGAAACCTGAAGGAGGTGAGAGAGCAAACATGGAATACCTGGGGAGGACATTCCAGCAGAGGGGCCCTGTGCAAAGGCCCTGGGGTAGACAGGTGCTCATCATGTTAGTGAAATACCAAGGAAGCCAATGAGGCTGCAATGTTGAGAAAGCCAGTGGAAGAAAGATGACAGGGGCAGCCTATGAGGGGGCTGGCCTTGAACTCTGAATGAAATGGGAAAAGGGACCGTCTGGCTCGTATGAAGATGTGTTGAAAAAGGAATTACTGACTCATTCAGAGATGAGGAGGGATTCTTGGCAGGTAGATGGTACCCACTGATCTGTGTTTCTTCACCAGGTGGCCTTATCTAATGTAATAAGAGGCCATGGACGATGGTCATTGACGTTCTTCATATGCCAATCCTCAAAGCAAAGACTGACAAATATAAAAAGTGCCAGAGCTCGCAGTTCCACCAGCCAGAGGACAAGGCTGAGAAGAGAACCTGGGCGGCATGCTTCCCATTCCTCTGTAACCTGGGCAGTTCCCCTCCAGGCCTGGCGCCACCTTTATAAGGAGGCCACAGGGCCACTCCATCCGCTACTCACTCCTGCCCCAGGCAGCGGTCCATTCAGTGGTAGAGGGCAGACAGAGGAGGTGCCCACAGCTAAGCTCTAACCATGGCAAGTGGTGTCAGGGAGCTGGTGCGTGCTTGGGACTGTGATGTCTGTATGTTACTAAGTCCAGAAGGTACCAAAGACTGCTGCCGACTGTGCCGGGAACCGCCTAGGACTGCAGAGCCAGGGGAAGCCTCATTAGAGGGGACTGCAGCTGCCAGCACCCACGGATGCCAGCAATAGGAAACTCAGCCTTGACCTAGGTGACCAGTAACGGACTGAGCCTGGTGAAACCTGCTCTACTGCTCAGCACCCACTCTGCACGGACCCAGACTCGTTTATGGTCAGGAGAAAGAAAAACAGCAATTTGACATTGTTAAAAAATGCTGAATGAAGTATCTAAATAAGAAATATCAATTGCAGCATTTTGAGGAATCAATGTGTCCTTGGAAAATGGACACAAARTTCATCATTGGATTTCTACAAATAAATATGTTATGTTGTGATGCATATAGGCACAAACAGGTCAGCCAGTCACAGGCTTATTTGCAAAAACCATCACAAAGAGGAAATTACCAAGTACCAATTCTGATATACTTTTATTTGCTTTAGAATATGCAAATATTATAAACTACTAAGACCTATCTTGGATATTTCTGAAAGTACTAAGTTTCACTTACCATGTTGACAATATTGTATGAATGAACTAAAATGATACCTGAGTGCCAACCTGCATCTCTTTTTTTAGGTGAGCTGAAATAATTTTGTTTGTTATTTAAACCTCTTTGAGTCAGAGTTTTCTGTTATTTGAAGCCAAATTCATCCTAATTCTACCAGCTTCTTTKTAATAAATTTTCTTGTGCACATTTAAGGCATACGACATGATGTTATGGGATACATATAGAAAGTGAAAAGGTTATTCTATTGATGTGATCACCATGTCCATCATCTCCCATAGTTGTACTTGTTTTGTTCTGTGGCAAGACAGCTAAAATCAACTAATTTAGTGTGAATTCTAAATAGAATACAAATTTATCGACGCAGTCCTCACATTATACATTAGATCTGTATTCTTGACCTCTGTTTCCTTACTTTCTCTCCACCCACACTTCTGGGAAACACTGTTTTGTTTAGATTCCACATATAAATCCTATTAAGCAGTATTTTCCTCTCTGGGTTGGGCTTATTTCACTTACCATGATGTCTTCCAGGCTTACCTCAAGGTGACAATTGGCAAGAACTCATCTGGGGTGTGTGTATCTGTTTATAACTTTCAGTGATTTAAAAATAACTTTTGTTTTCTAAGCTTTATATACTTACAGGTAACTACTCATAAATTAAAAACATCTAATTTGGAGCAAGAAATTATTGTCTAAAGTCTAGTTTTTATTGACTACCTTTTTGAAGGAACAATAACATATGTTACTTTAACATAGTGGTCTAAAATCTTCACAAATGCATACCTCAAAGGAAAAACATGATTCGTAGTTTATTGTTGAGAAAACAATAAAATGTTTTTAGTCCTATATAAATCATCTTCAACCAAGTACTTCTAAAATGCTTTTTACTTAATAAGCCATTCGTTATAGTTTTCATTTAACATGAAAGGTTTAGACATCTATAAAAACAAAAAGGGAAATGTAAACAAAATGGTGTATTTATGTAAAAGACTCAACTGTAATGGCAGAATTTCTCTCATCAGTTGTGAGGCACCCTGCAAAAGGTACACAATTCATACCTCTTGGCTTCCCTTTAGGAGAATCCAGGGTTGCCAAGGACTCTGCCTTTTTAGTTAGAATTGCAGTTTCCAAGCAGAAAACAGAAGGCTGCTGATCAGCACATCATAGAAAGTCCCTGTCACAGTGCTGAAGGGATTAYGTCATCTCTTAGGCTTCCCTGTGGGATACTCTAGTAGTGGAGAAGCATCCCTAATTCGTCCTGACCCCAYAGGACAATGTGATTCTTATAGTTTTTTCGTTACTTTTATTGCTTGACAACAAATTTTATTTGCTATATTTTGCTTCCAAATAAAGATTCATAATTGATTACCTATAATTGCTCTTCTAGAAAACTGGCTACAGAAAAATGAAGGATCAGGGAATCACTGCAGAAGCCTCGGCGCTCAGTCAAGTTCGTCTTTTCTGCAGCAGACACGCCTCCCTGTTCTTTTCTTCKTGACAGCAGAACCCGCTTTGGACTGGTTTCTCAGTCTTCCCCCTTTGAAATCTGAGTGACCTAGATGAAGGTGACCTTGCCCTAGCCATGCGATGAGGCCTGACTGATAGAAACCACTGGATGGTACTGTCCCTTTGGCCAGAGATGGACTCAATCCCTCAGGATGCAGCCAATCAAGACTGCATGGCTGTTCAGCTACCTGGCCTCCTCTAATCCAGGGGAACTTCTGACCCGTGGTGGCTAGAGAATTCTCTCCCTGAGTCTCTTTCTTTGACTCTCTCTTTCTGTCTCAGACAAGTTGAGAACAAGGAGGCGGTTGCCGGAGTTAACCGCTAGGGCTTGTCTCCGGGGAGGCAGCCGATCTGAGGACAGGTGGCATTTTAGGACGCCGACCCTGCCTGCCGAGGGCTTCCCCATCTTCTCCTATCTTCTTGTAAGAGTTCTTTATGGTTAAAGCCAGTTTTATTTGGGCTTCTGCAGCTTACAGCAGAAAATATCCTAACTCATTCACAGAGCCCATGATGAGAAACCCAGATACTTTGTATGGAAAAATTAATTTTGAAAGCTTAATTTCCTGAAATTCTTTCAGGATTTTCATCTATAATAAGTCTTTCAGACTTTCAAACAAATTCCGTCTCAGATAGTCAACTCTGAGATCAAACTTAAGGAGTCTGAGAATCTAAAATTCATCAGAAGCAACCCTACCAGTCTTTAGAAGTTGTAAACACTATGATTTTAACCCACCAGGGAGGTATAGCCTATCTCCTCATCTTCAATTTTCCACTCGACGTGCAAAGAGTCTTTTATTCTGCTTCTTTAATGTTTCTTCTAGCTACACCGTTTATAGCCTCAGAAGCTTCCCTTGATTCTCCAGCCCCTCCAGTCTCTGCGATTGATTTGTCTGAATTCCTGTCTTCTCCACCCCACCCACTAGTTCATGGCCGCCCTTCCTGACAGCTTTCCAAGGTCTCCGCCTCACTGAGGGGGCTTTCGTCAGGACTGTAGAGGCCATCACCTCTGTGGGTTCTCAGACTGCCCCATTTGTGAGAGCCTGTTGCTGTGTCACCCACCTTGCTTTACTTCTATTCCCAGGACACAGCCTTCACCCTGTGTCCCTAAGCGTCCTGCCACATGGAGAAGAGCAGGCTGTCACCAGGAGACATCGCCTCTCAAGACACCAGGCCGCCTGACTCAGGCTCTTAGAACATGGTTCCTGCAGGTAGCCCCTCACCGATCCTCATATGAATGTTCCTACCTCCTCAAAGGCATGGAAGGTGATACTTCCACAAAAGGCTGCCTCCTTCCCAGGTGTAGCATCTCAGTAAAGCTGACTTTCCTTCTCCCCAACAGCCATCTTAGAGGTTTTGCCATGAGATGAGCTCCTGGACTTGAGCTTAGTAGCTCCTTCTTTGCAAAACCATTTTTTTTCTCAGGCCAGGCACAGTGGTGCAGACCTGTAATCCCAGCAACTCGGGAGGCTGAGGCAGGAGGATAGAAATTTCAAGGCCAACCTCAGCTATTTAGCGAGGCCTTTAGCAACTTAACAATACCCTGTTTCAAGTAAAAAATAAAGAGGGGTAGGGAATAGCTCAGGGGTTAAGCTCACCTGGGTTCAATCTCTAGTATCTCCCCCCCAGCAAAAAAAAAAAAAAAGGGACAATTTCTTCTTTGGGGCTTCCCTGACACCAACACTCTGTCTTCCTGATTCATTGATGACTCATTCATGATTTCATGTGCTGGCTCCTTCCCTACTGACCACAAAATGAAGGCATGTCTCCCTGCTCCCACATGGGGCCTTCATATTCTCCTGACGGCCTCTTTTTCAGGCCCATGTTCATAACCATCATCTACATACCCACAATCTCCATTTTCACATCTCTGGTCGATTCTCCCCACTGAGCTCAAGGCCTGCCATGTTAGCTGGATGTCAATTTAAAATGGCCCCATCCACCCGTGATTTGCTTCTCCAAATCCTCCCTCAGTCTTTCCCATCTGAGGAAACGGCTCCAGCATACACCCATTAGGGAGAGTGTCCGTGACCTCCCCAACTCTCGTCTACACCCCTGTGAAAGTGCAGACTGAATTCAGTGACTGATCACTGCTCTCCCACCCAGCCGTCGTCCCCAACACAACCAACCTCTGCAGAGCTGTCTCGCTGTTTGTGCTGTTTCTAGTCTTTCTGCCCTTTGAGTCTTAATTCACAAAGAAGGCAGAAYTGACTTTTTAAAACAGAAATCAGATCTTTATTCTGCTGCTTAAAGCCTACCAATGGTGTTTCCTGGCTTGGAATATTGCTCATGTTCTCTGTCTGGGTCCAGAGCTGGCTTGCTCCTGCCTGTGTTTCTGGCACCTTCCTCATCCACTTTCCTCCTCACTCATTATGTTCCAAATATCCTGCCCTCCCCCACCCTGTTCCTGGACCAGATATGAGGTGTCCCTTATCAGCTCATGTGTGAAACAAYGAGAGATCCTAAGAGGTGAAATGATTAGACTTGGAGAGCTGCAGCCTCATCTGGGGATTGATCCACWGGTGGAGATTGACTGGGTCTAACTCTAGGCAGGGAGGGTGTGTCTGGAGGAGGCAGGCCAGGGGGACATGCCTGGGGGTTCACATTCCCCCGCAGGGGGAGCTCTCTCTCTGCTTCCCACTGCCACACCCTTCAGCCACGATGCTCTGCCTCACCTGGGCCCACAGCTGGACTGAACCTCTGAARCCATGAGCCAACATAAACTTTTCGTCCTCTAAGTTCTCATCATGTACTGAGTCACAGCAAGACAGAGCGGACTAAAATACCACCCAGGTCCCTTGCGCTTGCTGCTCTTTCTGCTCAGCGCATCATCTCCACTCCTGGACCACGTCTCAGCTTAAGTGCTCTTTCCACAGGGATCTTTCCTGACCTTTGCTGACCTCCATGAGATCTCCAGGGGCCTGTCTGTGCTCTCCGTTGCTCCCCTCTGCCCATCGCCAGCTGTGTCTGCATCGCAGTGCTCATCTCCACCTGAAATCAACCTGCTTGCTTAATTGCGTGTGTTCTGTTCAATGCTAGAGAGTGGAGACCTTGCCACTCATCTCTGGGGCAGTATCTGGCTGCTACTCTGCACTCACTGAATGTTAAAGAATGAAAGTAAGGTYTACACCTTTGTCATTTTTCACCTTGATTTTCCCAGCAGTGCCTCTCTGGTTTCTCCAATATGTCCCCAATACCAAGATGCACCTGGAGCGGTGTTTCTTCCAAGGTCACCTGTTCATTTCCTGCTGCCGGCCTCCAGTTTTCTCTTCCTCACCCCTCTCACATGTCCTGCCACAGCCATGCAGAGCCACTTCGCAGTCACACACTGTGCACYGGCTTCCTGCCTCCTTGCCACATGGCCTCCCCCTCCTCCACGCATCACCCGCAACTTGCCCTTGAAATTCATGGTGCCATATTTCTTCTTCACCAAATTAGAGTCAGTTGCTCCACTATTTCTAGTACATGACTCCATTATTGCTTTTTCTCAGATTATAGCAAATTATTTTCTTTCAATCGTATTCCCCTAATAAATCATTAAAAACCCAGAGTTTCTTATTGTTCTTTAAGATAGCAACGGACACAACTTAGGCCCTCAACAATGCTTGCTAAATGGAACTAGATCAAATTGATCCCATTGCCATATAAAAAATACATATGTAACACCAACAATAACCACCTCCACCCCCTACTGAAATAAGAGTTTGAGATAAAGCAATATCTGGTGCRTAACGTAAAAACTATACTAAAATAACATGAGCAGTATTCACTGATTGCTAACTGTGCTATGAATGTTACATGCATTTTCTCTCTTAAAAGTGAAATAAGAATATAGAGACCTAGAAATGTCTATAACTTGCCCAAAGTCCCAAAACTAGTAAGCCACCTATTTGGAAATCAAACACAATCTTTTTAGAGATCCAGGTCTACTATCTCTCCTCTCAAGCTAATTTGGATAGAAAATACCAATCACCATGTAATAGAATGCTCAGTCRCACATTCAGAACCCTGTGACATATCCTCCCCACTGCCACCTAGACACTGGTCTTCAGAGATCAAAGAAAGTGGCAGAGAACTGCATGGGAAGTGAGGAAGAATGCACCACCCTGGCTCTGTCACACCAGCCCCAGCTCCTCCTCCTCGAAGACCTCGGTCCTCCTGCTGAGCTGGTCCCAGTAGATTTCCTGGTTCTTTGAATGAAAGCACCTCCAGCAGAAGCTGTCATGAGGCCTGACAGGTCAAGTTCCATCAGGACCCCACGTCATAGACTTGAGATCGACACACATGCGGTTCCCTACCTTGGGCATGCAGATCACCAAATGTCCTGTTGTCTGCGACCTTTTCGCAGAGCTGCTGTCAGGTTTGACTTCTGCAGGAAGGACAAGCTGAAATGGCTGAAAACAAGCAGGAGAGATCAGGACCAAGGGCATGTTACTGAGAGTTACTTTGAGAGATATTTTCATTACAAGTTCAAGATGCACTGCTCAATTAGGAAGTGTGCCCAAACTTATTAGGAAAAAGTAATACCTGAGCTGGGCTTAATCTCTATGAATGTTTTACTTATTTTAAGGAATAATCTAAAGGACGGTCACCAATCACAAACAGTGAGACACTCATGGGTCCATTTATACTAAGGAGTAGTTTATAGATAWACATTATGGTTCCATGAATGAAATCACTGACTAACTAGATATTTATTAAACTTTATGCATGGACCACCACACATGTGGCATGCTATCAGCTTTTAAAAAGCCCAGCTCGAGACAGAGTTACACTGCTCTGTCTCAGGCTATGCAATGGTCAGCACTCATTTGCACTTTATACCAATCCCATGGCATAATTGTTTTTTTTTTTCCCACTAATATTTGCAAATTCTGAGGCAACACAGCTCAGTTCAAGGCTTATCTTTTAAGACTGTTAAGAGTCCCAGGGTTCCACTTACCTTTCCTTTGACCATCACTCGCACATAAGTTGGCTGCACGTCAACCTCAATTAAAGACGTGTCCATATACCTTCAAAACCAAACAGACCCAATATTATAATTTCCAAAAACAGTAAGTTTAAATAAGTAAAAATACAAATTCACACTTAAGCCCATTTTAAGTGAAGAAAATTTAAAATCTCCATGCTAAACAGTTCTTTAAAAATTAGTTTTTAATTAATCCCTAGAACAGAGGAATTCCAATATATCAGCAATTTCATTTTAAGACCTATAAGTATACTTGGCATTGATTGCCCCTAACCCAAAAATATCTGAGGTCTAAAAAACCAGAGGTTTGCCAAAAACAGCTTGCCATGTGCTTTCATGAATATTTTATTTTAAGCCCCTGCAACTCAAATAGACAGGAGTGCTGAAGCCACCGGGCCTGGGCCTGCAGCCACAGTGCTGCCTGCTCAGACCCTCTCCAGACCTGCAGCTGTTCTGCAGCTGTGCTGGGACCACCTCCCCTGGAAAAAAGCACGCTTCCTCCCTCGAAGGACAGCCTGCTGCCAGTGATGACAGTGACCCCAAGATCAGGTGGCCACATTTTCCTTGTCTCATGAACAAAGGGAAGACCTCCATTTCACATTACTCATTAAAATAAGTGGTTTAACTGAATAATTATCTGTAATATATTTTAAAATACCGATAGAGGACTTTAGAACATACAGCAATGATTCAAAAAACACCAACATTAAGGCAGGTAAGTCAATATGGGGGTTGCAGGCCGAGGCTTTGGAGTCACACAGCCTTGTGGGAATTGACTTCATGGCTTCCTGCTTCCTTACCTGGGTTCTAGTTCCTAACCCCTCAAAACCTCRGTTTCCTCATCTGTACASTGAAGCTACTGACCATGCCTCCCCCTAAGAATGCCTGAAGGCATGTGCACGGTGCCTATCTATACTTAATGAAGTAGCACTATATGTGATTTCATAAAATAATTTCATAATAATAAAAATAGGAACAAGGTCTCTTACAACTTAATGTGTAATGTTGCCCATGGTTAGGGCCCCCTAACGTGTTCGTCTGTTCCTATCTGCAGGACCCTTCTCTGTCTGAAAAGACCAGTTCTTTGTAGAGCAGGCTACTTCTCAGACTTCAGTTGTCACTGCCCATGTCAGCAACGACCCTGACCAGCCCCCTCCACCAACCACAGACCCCACACAGCATTACGAGCTCTCTTCTCCTTCTGTAAGACTCGTAGATGTCTCTTACTATCCACCTTCCCAGCCATAGGGGAACTTTGACGGTATACAGAATATGCTTACCGTCTTTCCTCGCCCAGCACACTCTAAGTTTCTACAGATAAGTGCTGAGTAAAGCCAGGAAGGATACATGACTGAATGAATTTAACTTCATGTACATTTTCATGTGCCAAGATAATAAGGAATTTAAATGTAAGTTAATTGGACAGAATCATGAGAATAGAAGGGGTTTACCATATAGGAGAAAGACACCACCCCGAAAATCAGACGTGGGGAAGAGGAAAGTTTCCACTGTAGAAACCTTATCATATATATGTGTTAGTTGTGGATGGACACCATACCTTTATTTTATTTACTTACTTATATTTTGTGTGGTGCTGAGGATAGAACACAGGGCCTCACACTGAGCCCCAGCCCCAGCCCCTGCAGGAAACTGTTAATTTTTTTTATTTTTTACTTCTGAATAGACAGCAGCCAACAGAGCCACAAATGAAGGGGCTGTGTGTACCATTAAACTGCAAAAAGGAAAAAAAACCCTAAAAGTGGAAAGGAGTTCAAAGGATGAATCGTGAACACTTAACGAAACCCAACAGAAACGGCTGCTTGGGGAGGTGTAGTGTTAGAGGACATGAAGCAGCTGGGAAAGCACTGGAAACTCGTTAAAAACAGGTGACAGGCAGCAAGTGGTTGGTGGGTATGGGGAGTGGGAAACACAGTTCCCATTCACAAAATGAGAGCTGAAAACCCTGCTAATGTCCCTCAGCTGGTGAATGAATAGACAGAAATGTGTCATCTATCCACACAATGGAATACTATTTGGCCAGCAAAAGGAAGGAGGTATTTGATACATGCTACAACAGGGATGGACCCTGAAGACATTTTGGTGAGTAAAAGAAACTCACACATAGGCTGCGTGTTGTATGGCTCCATTCATWTGAACTATCCAGAACAGGCAGATCCAAGAAACAGAGCTGGTCAAGAAACCAAGAGTGACTGCTTAAAGAATATGGGGTTTCCCTTAAGGGTAAGGAAAACGTTCCAGAGCTAGACCATGCTGATGATTATACAACACTGGGCATACACTAAATACCCAGAGTTGTGCTTTGAAACAGTTGAAAAGGTGAAGTTTAAGTTCTACCTATTTTACTACCATTAAACAAGCAAAGACCTACGGCTTTACGTTCTSACTTCTGTAGCCACGATTTGCTTTGGTGAGACTCACCCTGTGGCAATGTACCCCTCCTGGGTAGTTCCAGGTCAGTCGCTCCTCCTCCCTCCCAGGGTTACCGAGAAGTTCAGTAGAACAGAGCATGTTCTCCAATGTCACCGATGACACTCACCCACCTTCACTGACCCCCACGATCGCCCTCGATTCTCATTCTAACATATTTGTGGAGGCCACGAGGTGCCACCAAGAGGTGCCAGGCACGGACTAGTTTGGTGCTGGAGACGAACAGGCAGAACAAAGCTCCTGCCCCGACCTCAGCTTTGTTAAGACACAGGTCCATTTGTCAGATAGGGACCCAAAGCAGGAGAGGTGGGGAGAGCGCTGGGCGGGGCTACTCCTGTTTGAGTCAGACAGTGGGGCGGGCCACCCTCTCCATAAGGTGACATCTGACCAGGTGGCTGGAGGACAGGAGGCTACAAGTCACAAGGACACTGAGGATGACAGCAGTGCAGGCAGAGGACATGTGTGTGAGTGGACCCTGAGGTGACCCTCAAGGAGAGAGGTAGTGTGACTTGTGACAAGGAGGGGTACTACGGGCTGAGGGCGGAGGGTCAAAGCCATGGCGTCTTAGGAAGAAGAGAGGAAGGGTGCTCTGCTGTGGTGACGAGAGGCAGGCAGGACACCCTGGCCACCTGCCCTCGGGAATGAGGCGTGGGTGAGACCAGGGGGAGGAGGAGGGACAGGCAAGCTCCCCGGTGAGCAGCCTCAGGTCTCCAGGGGCCCGAGGAGGGGCCTGACCACCTGCAGCTTATTATTATGTCAAAGTGTTTGGGGAAAACACAGAGGACTATGGAAGTGAAGTGGCAGTCTGAAGAGCAGAGAGGTCCCCACTGCTGCAGCATCAGAACACCGCAAAGCTCTGCGAATCACTTGACTCTGGGCTGTTCCCGAGTTGATGGTCGTGGGACTGTGGATTCACTCATTTTGCCTTTCATTTTCATGCTTTAAAAAATTACCGTAAATTCTGTCTTGAAAAATGAACTTTTCCATTTAACCACGTGGCAAACCAAATTCCATTTCCAAATGTTTCAGAACTCAAAGGTCTGCTCCTGAGAATGCAAGCAAGGGAATGCCACGAGATGAGTGCATAAGGAACTGGTTTACCTGTAGACAGCCAAGTCCACGATGATCTGGTTACGCTCTTCATCATCTTTCAAAGAGAAGTCAAGTCTGAAAAAACAACACATTGGGAGAATGTCCTTCAGCCACTGTGCTGGTGACCTCACCACGTAACCAGGAGTAAATTCGATAAGAATCTAATGAAATTCTCCAATTACAAGCCTACTTTGGTAGTTGGACAGTAAAATAGCCATATTTATTTGTAAGTATCCACAGAGACGTGCAACATGTCACTTACTTCGCGTCGTCTACATGTGAGACTCTTAAGGTAAATGACATGCAGAAAATCAGCTTTGGTGCAGAGATGGGGACATCTGGTGGCTGAGGTTCCCTTCCTATTTCACCCAAGTTTGCTGGGGGCCACTGACAGCACTGCAGTTACTCAGGGAGACTCAAACGGGACATTTGCAGTCCTTTATGCGACACTCTATTCCTTGGGTTTCAAGAGCGCTGTCGTCTTTCTTTYCCTTGCCACTTGTCCCTTCTTTTGTGACTGACCTTTCTTTTGCCCTGGGAAGGTGGAAATGCTGCCAGTCATTTGTTACTCCATTTTATGGATGAAGAAACAGAGGCAGGATTTCAGGACTGTAGGTCTTTCAACAGGACTAGACTGAGTCATGGGTAGAACTTCCACGCTGTTAACACTCTACCCACAATTCCTTAGCAATTCAATTTTCTTTTGAGCACCTCACTAATCCAACTAAGAACCCAAACTAAATTGTCTGGAAAAAACAACTGCAGATGTGGCTGCCAGCAGTGGTCGCTGGGGCGGGCCCTCTTATAGCTCCCAAAGATCCATGTCTCAAATGACCTGTGCATTCCTTGTCCCCTACAGGAGCCGTTTTATGTCCTTTCCCTTCTAGGTGGACTCTTGTTCCTCAATTCCCCYGCCAGCCAGCTTGAAAACTCTCCCTTAAGAGAATGTCACTGAAAGTCACTTTCAGAGAGGTTGCTGTTCATCCTCACTTTCTGTCCCCCCTTTGTCCCTGGAAACAGAACCCCTAGGCAAGTGGCTTAAAGAATGAAGACTACACCTTCCAGCCCCGTGAACTCAGGTGTGGTCATGTGATTTACACAGTTAGGGAATGTGTCGAGTGGCACTTTCTAGGACCATTCCTTAAGCAAGGGAGTGGGTGCCCTCCTGCTGCTGCATCACTCAACCGACAAGACCAGATTGTAGGAGGCCAACACACAAGCCACGCCCACTACCTAACAAGCTTCTGGAACTGTCTAGGCAAGAGGGAGTGCTGGCTTCTCCTAGGGTGGTAGTGAGGAGGCGACGAGGAGCAGCGAGAGTCTGGGTTCACTGCAGGAAGGGCTCCTGAGGTTCACTGATCAGAGAAGAATCCAGGACACACCCCAGGCTTTGGTCAGCCAACGGGTGGGTGTTTCTCAGGGAGAGGCAGAATGGTGGGAGACCAGGCACATTAGGGTGGGGGGTAGTGGAAGGGAAAGCTAGGACTCTGCATCATATGTTTGTTATTTTACATCAATATAGTGATGGCAATGTCCTGGAGGAGGACAGTGACCACGAGGAACTGGGCAGTAGTGGAGGGAGATGGTGAGTAATCAGTTCTTCAGGGACTCTTCCTAAGTACAGTGGTTACAGGGGCAGGTACAGTGGTCAGTGTGAGAAGAGTGGTGGTCTCACTGGGGGTCCACAGAGGGGTCTCAGTGGACTTTTAGCTCCACAAAGCAGCTCCGTCACAGCGTTGCCTGCCTGCAATGCCCGGCCTATCGGGACCTGCACTCCTGTCTGTGGGATAAAGAAGGTGTATGTGTGGTGGGGACTGCCATGGTGATTGCCATGGTCAATCATGGTGTATGATTGACCACGGCGATCACCAGAACTGGGTGCGCACGGGTGGCACACCAGACTCACCCCTGACGGCTGTGTGAACTCAGGCGAGTCACTTCACCTCTCAAGCTCAGGCTTAGGAGCTGTGGAAAAGAAACCCTGCCTRCCATCCAGGATCGCCACGAGAAGGAGCGATGCCCGGGAGCCACGCCACACTCTGCCTCCCTCACGGTAATAACAGCAAATTAGATGACGGACGCAAACAGGCTTGGACTAATGAGACGAAGCGGAGGAGACCTGCTCCACAGGCTGATCTCCATTTAGGCTCTGCAAGGCCTTTCAGCCCACGTTCCCCTTCCCAAGTTGCAGACAGACAGAGTAGATCAGATGTGATTAGACTTGAGGATTCCCAGCTTGAATAGTTTTCCTCTCTAATTAAGTTTATTGAGATATTTATTCCAATTTCTCTCCCTGGCTCTCGAATGCTTTGCAGATGTGTTCCAGAGGATAATGTAGAGGTAAAGGAGAATTGTAAGTATTCTCAGCCAGCTTGTTCGTGGCAGAATTTAAAAATTCATCAAAACAATAACAGCACAGTGGCAATTTTCAGGCATAAAATTGTATGTAGTCCAAAGTTTCATGGAATACATAAGTAAGTAAGAATTCCATATGGCAAGGTCATTTTCTGGATGTCAAGAAAATCATGTACTTGAAAACATAATAGATGCTTGGCTTTTAAATGTACACAAAATGACATTATTACTAGACTCAGCCAACCCGTTGAGAGTGGTCAATTTACTCTTAGCCAAGCAAACCTGTCASTGAAGCCATCGTGACCACCACCCACCAGTGTCTCCTCCCCAGGTCCTGCCCTGTCCTCACGCACTTGGGCTCATTGACATTCAGGGCCTTCCCGTCTTCAGTGATCAGAGTCCGGGCCGGTTTCATATTCTTCTTTTTTTCACTTAATAGGGGGTAGGTGGGGACAGGAGGCAGTGGGGAAGGGAGAATAAAGAAAGAGAGCATAAAATCAATCAATATGTTTTTGTGAAACAGTTGAAGAAAAATTGACCATGTATATCAACACACCAACAATTCACTTATGAAGTCAATTCCTTTAATTCTATGCTGGGAATTAAAAATCAAACCAGATTTTTTATATGGTTGTATCTAAATCTGCAAAGCAAAAATGTGACCAAGACAATTTGCCAGATAATTTGAATGGGGGAAGAAGACTCTTTTTGATGAAATGCCCATGAATATTTAAATGAGTCTTATTTTATGCATGATTTACCCAGATAACTGTCAATTCTCCATTTGTGTGTAGAGCTTCTGCTTCAGTTAAAAGTATAATTTTTAAAACACCAAGTAGAATCCATTCTGCAGACATAAAATTACCATTACATAGGATCTATATAAAAAGACATTTCTCACAGCATTATTTGTAGTGGCAAAACCCAGAACTATTGTGGATATCTACCACTGGAGGAATGATTGGGTCCATCATGGTACATTCACACTAAGAACTATCTTATAGCTATTAAAATGGGGTTTGCTCTTTCCATAGCAACCCACAAAAGCGTTCACGATGTATTTAGAACAAATACATAAAATATAAGTCTTCTGTTTTTTTTAAAGACCCCAAGTCCTACATTTGCAGAGATGACTTACACAATTATAGAAGGAGGAAAATGTGTGGTGGCATTGACCCAAGTCTGTTAACTTCGGGAGAGGAGGAAAAGGAAAGAGCAGAAAGGAGAATATTTAYGGAATACGTGAAGTAAATTTAGTCTGTTATTTTTATTTTAAAAAATTACTGAAAAAAAATATTTTAAAAAACTTCAATAGGCACATGTGGACAAGATCTAGAAGATGAAATGGAAAAATTTGTTGAGATGATGGGATTGTAGGCAATTGTTGGCCTTGAATTTCTATTGTCCTTTTAATAGAGATTCTGCGTCAGCCAACTTTATTTAAAAATTCACTCACATTCTTCTGCATCTTAAACTGAGCCTCCAGATCTAATTAAGCTACTATTTCAATGACTCAGGACAATTAAAGGGTATCCAGAAATATCTGGCTTCACCCGACACTCTCTGGACAAGAGCTGAATTAGGATGAGAGGCTGGCCTGGTCCCTGCCTTTCCCCAGCTGGTGAAAATACCAAGCGACCAAAGAGCCACGTGTCCACGGGCCCATGGATTAGGCAGACTATGGCCCACTAGGCAGAGAGACTCATCCCTCCATCCAGCTCAGCCCAGCTCTTGTAGGTGTCAGAGAGAAAAACAATTCTGCTGATTTCAGGCTCAATACTATACAGATCACCCCCMCMCMYACACACACAYACATATAAACATGTGCATGCACACGTGTGTGCATGTGGAACGGGGTAGATATGTTAGAAATACCACATACACACATTCTGTTTCAAGTGACTCTGAAGTCTGCAAAGGGTTTATCTGATTCTCTTAACAGCACAGTGGGTGGTAAAACAGGTGGAATAAGCCTTGCTTAACAAATGAGAAGGAAGGTACTTGCCAACATCACAGAGAGAACCAGTGACCAGGTCACAACATTTTCTGATGTTATTCCAGTGCTCTTCCCAGAGCAATGGTGACCTCTCTGCATACAAAATGCCATGTTTTACAAATAAGTGATTTATATAAAACATGATTCTCTACTGTTGCACCATCCTATGTTTCTTACTAATGAAAAAGCTTTATGAAAGCAGAAGAGATTTCTAAATCCTTCTAGTTGCTTTTAGTTGATAATCATAGGGGATATATTGTGTCTAATTCATCTCATTGCCATGTAGATTACTATATTTCAGAACTAATTGATCATATTCTCAAGCTTGTGCATTACAAGTATTCCCAGAWGTGATATTTTTAAAAATCATTTAAAAATATTTTACACATTAGACTTAAGCAATCACGTGAAATAGAATGACACAGGCCAGGTCTATCTTCGGAAAATAACAGCTTAAGCATCCTAACTTCTAGCAAATCATAAAAGTTTATCTAAACACATCAAAAGTGGAATCATACTGTTAAATATCCTAAAAAGTYATAACATAAAAATAAAAAATAAAARTAATTTTAATTCTTCATTTTGAAAATTAATAGAATAGACTCAAAGGAGCTCATTCATCTCACAAAACAACATTTTCCTCCGTACCATGATAACGAGTATTTCTAACCTAACCCATWCTTAGCAGATACATATAAATGGTTTAAAAAGCTAAAGACATACAAATAAAACCTGAAATTTCATAMTTTGTGATGTTCTAAAGAAGGTATTTAGATGTTAATGAATGTAAGTCAATACAATTCAATAAAATGCTGTGTGTAGGAAAAGCAAAATCTTTGTGTGAGAGCTAACAAAGGCTTAACACCTGATGGATAAAATAATGTGTAATTGTAAAAATATAACGTAAGAGTGTTGCCAAACTCTTGGTGATAAGGGAAAAAATGGAATACCTTAATTTTTCCTGATCTTTTCGTTGTTTTTCCACATGTCTAAGAGTTTCCAATCTAGATTCTGGAGTATACAAGGAAGGTTTATTCCAGAATTCCAGGTCATCTTCACTTTCATTTAATTTCTTTTTGTTGTATTCCTCTTCTTGTGTTTCKGGTGCCTGGAAGTGGTCTATGGTCTCTGAAGAAGATGGGCTAGGAAAATCCAATAAATACGGAGCACRTAAGACCAAAAATGGACCTATGAGTTTCACCCTTAATGCTGCCCCTTAAGTATCTTATACACCWATTTTTCCTCATCAGCATGTTGCCTTTGACTGACAATGTGTCTCAGAGGGTCTAAGCCAAGTTGGAGGACATACTTTCATAGCACTGAGACAGGCCCTGGTCCTCTATCCTCAGAACATGTTGTATCAGATTCGAGGGCTCCTGGTCCTGGTGATGTGCTACCTGGGAGGACTTGTTAAACAGTCCAGCTGCCTGGCCCCCATCCCAGTGCCTTCAGTAAATCTGGAGTGGGGCCCAGGTATCCTTGCGTATTTTGCAGGGGTTCTGATGACAGGCAAGCGTCACTGAGCCGAGCCATCACCTCTCCTGCAGAGCTGCAGCCATCAACGCCACCCTCCCATGCTGCTCCAAGTGCCTGCTCACATTACCTCCGGGTCCTTTAATGATCTTCTACCTCCAAAATTTTCTTGAGGGAAGCACAAGGCTTTCTGTGGTGTGGCCTCTGCTTGCTTTAATTTTCAGGGTTAAATTCTGATTTTATGACTTTAATATGGTGATGGTTCTCTGATTTCTCTTTTATCCCTGTTTGTGAACTGTCCGAGAATCAAACATTGTCTCTATACATCACGGAATGGGTATTACATGTGATATTAGCATCCATTCAACACAAGCTCAAGAAATATTTGTTGGGGATCTCCTGAGTGCCAGGCATCAGAGACAGGGTTACAGAAAAGACAGARCAGGACACTGCTGTCAGGAGATGAGTCTATTCTAGTGGAGGGAAAGTGACCTCGTTCCAACAATGTACACTGGGTATGATCTCTTGCCTCTTCCTGGAATATATACTCTGTTAGAAACTGATATTAAATGAAAAAGTTACCTGAAGCTTTTATTACCAAGTATTTCAAATAGTAAGTACTCAGTAAATAWTGATTTTGTTGTTTTTACTGAAATGAGATAACATAAAAAGTTTGCTTGGTTGATCTGARATGAACTAAGATGTTTTTTCAAGGGATTATCCTAAAACATTGGAACATGAAATTTAAATACTATAAATATATTATTGAATAAAATTATGCTTAGATTATTTACATATTATAAAATGCAACAAGGTATCTTAATAAGTAAAATAATATAAATCACTGAAAATAGACACTTTCTATAATTCTTTATGGTACTGAAAACAATCTATGAAGGGGATCTAATATTCTAGCTAATTGTTACTAAAATATTGGAACCTTACTTAAGTGACTTCTTCCTGGAAAGTGACTACTTGGTCTACTTTCACCTTTGCAATCTAAAATAATAGTAGGAAAAAAAACTAGAAAAATAACTGAATTTAAGAAAAACTATCAGAAATGTCAGCTAAGAAACATAAATCTTCAAAGGCAAAACACACATAATATACGTAGCTGAACGATGGATGGAGCGGACAAAGCACATCAGGGTTTGAAGAAAAAAAAAATCCCCTTTGACCATCCCCTCCAAACCTGCTTTCTCAGAACCTTCTTCTCAACCATTTGCAGATCCCACAGTCCTATCTGCACTCTCAACAAGAGTCTCATGTCYGCTAAAAGGTATTCAAAGATACACAGTTTAAGGAAAGCTTCAGACTTACCTCCCTCTCCCAGCAACCCCCGCCCCCCCCACCTGGCCCTGGGAGATGCCTACTGGCTACTCCACCCCTCACTGCTCYTCTATTCCTTACCCCTGTGTCCTAGCTCACTGGGGTCTTTGGGGTCCCCTGCCTTCAGGTTCTGGGCTTAGCAGGATGGATGGGGGAAGTTGGTGAGCATCTTTCCTGTGGCCACTGCTGTTACAACCTCTCCATTGCTGCTCTCTCTGGGGCTGGTGCCCAACACTGGCTTCTCTGCCTTGCCAGCAGCTTGGTTGTTCTTAGACAAACCATATCTTGCTATTTCTATTGATATATATGTATTGTATATATGTATATATGTGCATATATATTATTGTACATATCTGGAGAGTCCTCCAGACATGGCTCCCTGTCAAAAACAGTCAATGGACCGCCTGGCTGGTCAACTCCTATGACAACTCCTCAGCTTATGCCACTGGAGATTCACCTCACAGTTTCTTACCGTTGTCACCCTTTACGACAGTCCCACCTGGCTCCTTCCACCACTTGTACTTGGCCTGTGGGACAGTCTCAGATCCTTGGCCTGAGAAATGCTCTCAGTGTGAGTGTTCCTACTAATGCCCTCCAGAGGTGAGAGGTGCTTTTGGTGCTTAAGTATCAACATCTCTATCCTGGGAAGAGGAGCACCCTGCTGCTCCTCCCTAGCTAGCCAATGACTCACTAGTCCAGGGAGGCCCCTCCAGAACACTCAGGCTTTGCTCCTATGGGCTGGATGGGGTGAAGGTGGTGAAGGACCAGCCAGCCTGGCAGGGAAAGCAGATAAGCATCTGCAAGAAGCCCAGCTACAAGTTTCTACTAAAATACAAGGAAAGGATGAATTTCAGTTTGTGTGAGTTTTTATAAACCAAGATTTKCAAGTAATCCCCAATAAATGTATGTGCCTATTATAACCTTGAAGCAAAACAACCAGGAAAAAATACAATGAGAAAAGGACCTAATAGTATAAACTCACGAACACAGGCTCAAASGCAACAATAAGGTAATAATAAAATTAATGTAAAAATGCACTAATAAACATATTACAGATAAAGTGTGTTTATTCTAGAAATTCAAGGATAATTTGATATTTGAAAATCTATTAATGTGATTCAACACATTAACAGTAAAACATAATTGTCTCAATAGATATAGGGAATGCATTCAATAAAAATCCAATGTATGTGATGATTAAAAATCTTCATGCCTTCTTCTTCTGGGGGCTAAGACAGGAAGTCAGCAGATTCGAGGACAGCCCTGACAACTTAGTGAGACCTTGTCTGAAAAATAAAATAAAATACAAAAATAGACTGTGGATGTACCTCAGTGGTAGAAGGCTTGCCTTCCCTGTGGGAGGCCCTGGCCTCAATCCCCAGTACTGCATAAAGGAAACTTTACCAAACTACAAAGAAATCATTTTACTTAATGACAAGGAATTGAAAATGGTTTTTTTAAAAAAGTTTTTTGGTTATAGATGGGCACAATACATTTATTTATTTATTTATTTATTTATTTATTTATTTATATGTGGTGCTGAGGATCAAACCCAGTGCCTCATACCTGCTAGGCAAGCACTCAACCACTGAGCCACCACACCCCAAAGCATTTTTTTTTTAATTGGGAATGAAATACTGATACCCCTTCTTACTTCTGTTATTCTATCCCATATTGAAGATCTTCCTGGATACCATAAAAAATAATAATAATTATAAAGCGGAGGCAGAAGGATTGAAAAACTTTTTTAAAGTTGCTATTTATAAACTATGTAGTTTCATTTTTTTAACACAGAAAACTCAGGTTATCCTATAGGCTACTGCAACTTTTAAGGAGGTCAGCAAGACTGTTTAATACAGCATCAGTATCCAGAAATCATTTGTCTCTTTATACATCAGTAAAAACCAATTATATTTTTTATTCTATTCTACAAGATTCTTAGGAATAAATCTAATGAAAGATGATGTAATACCTTTATATGGAAAATTCAAAACCCTAGTGAAAGACTCAAAAGAAGATATAAATAAATAAAGAACTATTCCAAAGTTCAGCAAGGAAAGAATCAATACCATGAAGATGTCAACTTTGTGCTAATTAAATTAAAAGCAATTCCAGTTAAAGTTCCACTAGGGGGTTGGGGGAAATTTGATTAGTGGATGCTAAAATTCATGCAGCATTTCTTTACCCAAAGAACGAAGATCAGCCAAGATCATCTTGAAAAAATGAGAGTGTCTCCTATCAAATATGTAATGAATATACATATTTAGAGAAATTCAAATCAAGTGGAGGGGCTGCTATGCAGCAGCCAAGGGGCACCAGAAGTACACCCATAAACACAGGTTTAGAACGACCTGGTGAGGACGACACTTCTTATCAGTGGGGAAAAGAACATCTTAATAAGTGGTGAGGAGCTCCGGGCTTCCTATCCAGGGAGCATGGAGCACCCTGCCCTCAGTGCCAACAAAGGCTCATTCCAGATAGTCAGAGATGACACTGGGGTTAAGGCGAATTCCATTAAAAATAAGGCAAAAATAAGTTTGAGTACATTCATATTTTTTAATTCTACAAGTAGAAGCATTTATAATTAAAGACACAAGATAGACTGGGAGAAGATATGTGTAAAGAATTTGTATTCAGAACATTAAAAAACTATAAATCAGGAAGAAAAAACTTGCAACTTATTTAATATAAGCAAAAGACAAGGATGGAGGAAACATGAATGGATATAAACATATGAGAAGATAATTCAAATTCATTCTAATTATACAAATGCCAATTAGGTTAAAAAAATTAGGTGCTATTTAATAAACTTTGTTAACCATATTTTAAAACAATGCAAGTGACCATGCACAGAGGGACGGCTGCTCCAGGGCTGCTCAGCGGGCACTCACGGGGAGGGCCTCATCTATTAACGCCGTGTGCATTCTGATCTGCCAGGGCCAGAGAACCACTGGCTGCTAAATATTTTGAATATTATCTCTAGAATAAATTAGAATTTATTCATCCAATGAAATGTTTGTTATTCCATAATTAGGATGAATGAATTAGTTTCACCTGTCTTCTTCGGCATAGATCTCAAAAACATGTTGAATGAAAAGCAAAGCTACAGAAAGATACCATTCATAACAAATACATGCACACTCACTCACAAACTGCTCTTGTTTAAAGAGCCAGAATCATGTTTTAAGGGCATCAAAAATATATTGAGGTCAATGTATATCAAATATATACCAACTTCAGGATGGCAGACACCTGAAGGAAAGAGCTGGATTCTCAGCACGCTTATAACTCTCTTAATGGCATTTCACTGTTCTTTCAAAAAGATGCAAAGCAAACATAAACAATTGTCATTTATCAACTTGGGTAGTGGAATTATAGCTTCCTATCTAATTACTTTTAAGACATTTGTCTATCTCTGAAATATTTTATAATCATATTTTCTGAGAGAAAATCTGTTATCTAAATATTTAAAGCTTTCACTGTATGGAATCCAATCAACTGACTACAGTTTCAATTCACTTAAATAGCATGAAAAATTCAGATTCATAAAAAAGATCAATTAAAGGGTTATTAATCTCATTAAAAGTATATTCATTATATAATTCACAAAACAGAATGTTTTGTGATGCAATCAGAATTATTCAATTTATAAGCATGTGATTTGCATTTAACTTTTCTAAGATATTCCTACTTTATAAATCAAAGTACACCTGTTAATTCATTTTTCCTGTACATCTTTTATACAGATTTCTCTGAGGATAATTTTAGATGCAAATTAAAGTTGCTAGTTAGAAGAGACACTTTTCTCTAAGGGAAGAGAGCCTCCTAGAACTGTCATGAACTATGGGATGTTCCATTTCCCCCTCCAAAATTATATCATACTTTATTCTTCAAATTAATCTTCTGCAATGTAAGTGGTACTGTGAACACCTTGGGGAAAGGACACAGATGGCTGGCCTAATAAGACTTAACTAGAAGCAAACTCAGGATTGACCTACGGWGCAGTGTGGATGTCTGTGTACCAACGCCCGTCAAAGCCCGGGTCCCTCCGCTTCCTCCTGTCTTCCTTGTCCTGCTGCTCCTCCAGCTTCCTCTGGGCCTCCTCTTTGTCTTTGGCTCTTCTGAGGCAGTAAGCTTTTTCCTGCTCTCGGACTTGCTGCTCAACCACTGGATAGTTTTGCAATGCCTGGATCCTTTCTGAACGCTCTATTTCTTTGCCATCCAGCCACTTCAATAAAAAACAAAACAAAACAACAACAACAGCAACAAAGCACAATTATTCAAAAGTAGGAATGCAAATGAAACCACAATGATTCTGAATAAAATATCTTGAAATTAGAAATAATAAGTGTAGCATAGTGATAGAGAATTAATACAAAGTAATTAATACAAAATATCAGAAACACTCCTCTAAATCAATGTTTGTTTCATACAATTAACAGTTTATAAAGCACCTTCACTGGTACTAATAATAAACAGTCCTTCTGTCACAAYTGGGAATTAATGCAAAACTCTCAAAATATTGATATTAATTTATAACTATTCACTATATTAAAGATTTGAATACTTAAACCAAATTGCAGCTCCAAAGCAAAACAATGACACTTCCCAAATGCTCTCTACAATCAAGACCTTGAATCTTCACCAAATTGAGCTCAATACAAATGAGCCCATGTTCTACCCTTGACAATAAGATACAGAGTGAACTATTGTTATAGTCAATGTACCCCTCTGGTATTTTTATAATTTTCTAAATTAAAATATTAAAACAAGACACCAACTAAAATCTGAAAAGACAAAGCTCTCAGTTTAAAGATATCTATTTATTTGCCTAGCCTCATTCTACAAAAAGATTAAGGTAGGGAAAGATGTGCCAGGCAGATGATGGTTCCCCAGAAAAGTCCACGTTGTAGCTTCAGCAAAGGTTATCTCACATGGCAAGAAGGACTGCAGACATGATTGACTTAAAGATTTCAGATGGCAGGCTGACCCTYATAAGAATGACAGRGTCCTTATAATTAAAAGAAGRAGGCAGAAGTGTCAGGGTCGGRGTTGGGAGAGATGTGGAGGTGATACGTTGCTGGCTTTCCACAGCTCAGAAATGTAGACGCCTTTGAGATGCTGAAAAGGGCAAAGAAAGGGATTTTCCTGAAGCCTCCAAAGAAAGAGCCCTGTCAACACCTTGAATTTAGTCCAGTAAAACCATTTTGGACTTCTGACCTCCAGAACTATAAGATAAATCTGTACTGTTTTAAGCCACTAAATTTGTGTTAATTTGTTACAAAAGGAATTCAAAGGAAAAAAAAAAAGAAAAGAAAACAGAAAATGTAGTGAAATATAAAATAAAAAACTACTGGGAGAAGTTAAATTATAAATCAAATTGTAATGTGCAGATTGGGAAAAATAATTTAAAATAAGAACACACATGGTTGCTGCAGATTGGCTGGAGATTAGGTTCTAAAACACTCAGCAATCAAAGCAAACTAGCAAAACATGATCAGTTACACAGTTTTCTCTATCTGTAATAAAAAAGTATGATATTTTCTGGCTTTCCTCTRATATTTAGCTCTAAAACACACTTCTAAAGCAGAGTTTCATAAAGGAGACTTGAGGAAAATCAGAAACTGACACCACCACATAGAGAAACAGACTTCTYCTAGCACCCTTCAATGTAAGATGAGGTCACAATTATAAATTTAATAAAACCTTTTCCTTGTTTTGCATTGTATTTTTTATTGGTGCATTATAATTATATATAATAGTGGGATTCGTGGTTAGATTCTTATACATGCAAATGGTGTAAATAAAATTTGGTGAATTTTCTTCCTCAGTGCCTCCCATAAAACCTATTCCTTAAGGTGATACTTGTGATCCACAAACTTAAATTAACATAGTTTAAGCTAGGGTTAGGATGTAATCACTTGAAAAATTCCCAATAAAAAAATTTATTARTTGTATAAATGTAATACATATCTATAATACACAGAAAATATAAGTTTTAATATATAAGTATTGATATACTATACAAATAACATACTTAAATACCACAAATATATACATATTGTATATAAGTGTATAATTTTATAACAATTTGGAAAATTCTAAAAAAAATTAACTTCTTTCACCTGGGATTTTAATGACCATTCGGAGTAAAGGTGATATCTCTTACTCAAATATGGAGTACATTTATTTATGTATTTGTTTAATTTACAATCTGTYTTTATGCTTGGTTTAAATAACTATTGATTTAATTAGGCTGACGCTTCTAAAGGATGATGACAAATGCCCACTGGCACCTTATAGACAGGAAACAAAAGACCTCATGCTGAGTGGATATCAGATTTGGGACTGTGCCCCAGCACCTACTCAAGGACCTCAGTCTGCTTGATGACTTCCATTAGGACATCTTTGAAATTGGCCTAAGTTTCCTACAAATCAAATTCACTTTTGATTTCAGAGGTGCTGGTGAGCAGGAATGAAGTCTTTCGTTGAGCATTCCAGCATTCCTTGACCTTTCTTTACTCCTGATCCCACAGCACAGAGGTAGTGTCCACACCTACTGTTAGTGACAGAGGTAGTGTCCACACCTACTGTTAGTGACAGAGGTAGTGTCCACACTTACTGTTAGTGACAGAGGTAGTGTCCACATCTGCTGTTAGTGATAGAGGTAGTGTCCACATCTGCTGTTAGTGACAGAGGTAGTGTCCACACTTACTGTTAGTGACAGAGGTAGTGTCCACACTTACTGTTAGTGACAGAGGTAGTGTCCACACTTACTGTTAGTGACAGAGGTAGTGTCCACATTTACTGTTAGTGACAGAGGTAGTGTCCACACTGTTAGTGACAGAGGTAGTGTCCACACTTACTGTTTGTTCAAGATTGTGCTTTGCTGCAGCAAAGAAAAGAAGAATTGAGCCTGGCTGGGTCCTCCCAGAACTCCTCTGTGTGGGAATTCTCATCCAGGCCTACACCAGGGGAATGAGGKGGCAGCTCCCAGGCAGTGGGAAAGGAGGCAGAGCCGCTGTCTGCTCACACCCCTCTTTTCCACAAGGCCAGTGACTACTTCCTGCCTGGAGTGGCCCAGACACTGGGGAAAGAATGCTTGGAAGGGCTGACTCTCCTCACACCTCTTCATGTGGCTGCTAAAGTCAACTACTACTCCATCCGTCATTATGGGTTGAATTGGGTGAAGTTCTAACCTCCCGACTTTATTTGGAAGTAGAGTCCATGTAGGTGTAATTCACGAAGACTAATCACATGGGCAGTGTGGACCCTAATGCAACCTGACCAGGTCTACAGAAAACATGGCATGTGAAAAGACAGGGACCCAAGAAGGAGACTATGAAGACAAAGGTGGAGATCAAGGTAACATGCCAACAAGACAGACAAGGCCAAAGACTGACAGTGAATCTTCATTACTAGGAAGGAGTCAAGGAACAGATTCTCCTCCCAGCCCTCAGGGAACCTGCCCTGTCCATCTTGTTCTTGAACAGCTGGCCTCTAGAGCTGTGAGATGGTAAATTTCTGGTGTTTAAGATACCCAGCTTGTGGCATTTTGTTACAGTAGTCCGGGGAAAATAATACATCTATTAACATAATTCTTTTCAACCAGATCACAAGGCAATTAAGATTCTAAAGTTTATCAACCTATTTTAAATAGGAACAAACACATTTACGAACATCATTTTCCAACAGAGGCTATTGTAGCTAGTGTCTATTGCAGCTACTGACTTAGTGCAGTCTTTCTGAAATGAAAGCTTTGATCCTGTGGTTGTACATTCATGCAGAAAGAAGAAGTGATGAGACACATGTGGGTTCAAATCCTACCTGGCCCACTTGCCAGATGTGTCAGTGTAAACCAAGGGTGTCAGTTCCCTGAGCCCTGAACTTCTCATCTCTGAATGCACTGCACTGTTTCCTACACAGGAGGATCAGAGACACTGTGCACGCAGCACCTGCCACTACCCCATCCCATTTCCAGTACCTGGATGACGTCTCACACAGCCAGCCTGACACAGCAGCACTGACACAGGGTCAGCTGTGGCTGCCATCCATTCTTATAGCTTCTCGGTCCTTCTGAAGAGGTGGCCCTGGAGTTAGAGGACCAGCTCCGCTCCTGTGATACTCTGCTTCTCATTCATTTTCTAAGAAGCCACTGTACAATGACGATCAGTCTTGCTGTGTTTGATTCTAGATTCAGTAACCTAAATCACTCATTCTCTTACTCTAGGAGATTTTACATTAGAAGGAATGTGTCCCACTAATTTAGCAGTCAGCAATCTCTCAACTGCAGACAGAACACAGAAATCTAAGAAATAAATGGCCTCTGAGACCTGAGAAGATGCTGATCACAAAACTGACCCATCCGTGTGTCTTCTTTGTAGCAGCGTGGAGTCACACGGAGGCTGGGGACTCTTGGAAGGACATGAAGTTAATACTACCACTTTCATATATTCTCAGTTGTATACTTCCTCTTAAAATGATATTTTCCTAGGCTCTAAATTTATTAAATCCAGAGATATGATGGGACTATATTAACATATTATAATATATATTTTGGGGTTGTCAATCRTGTTCCTAGTTTGTAACTCCCTCCCCAAGGCTGGTCCCCTGCCTTTGCCTGGTTATAAAGAAATTCTCGGACTGAYCTTTTCTGAGAGTGGGCCTTAAGACTCCTCATTCCCAAGGGTTCCTCACCTCACTCCTGGGGGAAGACAGGCTGAAGACACTCAACAGGCCTTTCTGGCTTCCCTGCTCAGTCTGTTAGCAACCATGCCTGTGTGATGAAGTCTCCATTAAAACAACAGTGCTCACAGAGCTCTCAGTTTGCTGAACATGGAGCAGACCCTGGAGGGAGGTGCACCCTTCCCACAGACCTCACCCTATGCTCTCCTCATCAGGGTCCTTTATAATAAACAGGTAAACATAAGGAAGTGTTTCTCTGTGAGCTGCTGAAGCAAGTTAAGCAAACTCAAGAAAGCCCGACTCACAGCCAGTCTGTCAGAAGCACAGATAAAAACACGTGGGGCCTGTGACTAAAATCTAAAATGAGGGGGGCAGTCCTGCATTCTAGGACTGAGCCCTCAATCTGTAGAATCTGACACTATCCACTTGGAGGTAGAAGATACTTGGATTAGAGGACACCTGGCTGGTGTCCACTGCTGGAGAGCTGATTGCCAACTTCTGTGTGGGGAAAGTCCACACAGCTAGTGTAAGAAGTGTCCACGTTGCCTTGGTGTGAGAGCAGATGACAGAACAAGGCGTTCTGCATGTTTTCCTGGACAAACATAGAGAGCAGTTGTTGTTGAAAGAGGCCTCTGACTAGGAGCATCAGCATAATCCAAGAGCAAAAATGCAAATAGTGTGCATGGTGACAGACCTGACCCAGGAACTAGGGTGGGGAGTACAGAAACCTGTGCTTTAACAGCCTCCAACTACTCTCACGCACAGCAAACGCCAAGGTCCCCTGCCTCAGAAATTGAGCTAATAAAAAGCAACAACAAAAAAGTAATTATGAAAACAGAGTAACTACATTATCTAAGTGTATGTAGCTGCAGCTACCTTTGGAACACTAACCTACTGGTGGTGCGGATGAATTAGTAGTGGTGATGATGAATGCGGTTTGCAACAACTGAACTCAACAAGATATACTTCGATTACGGAAAACATGTATGAAAGCAACTAAAACAACGTGAAAAATTTAGAAGTCAAAGAATCCATTTTGTTTCTCTGGAATATCCCATTCTCTGCAGCAACACTCTCCCTGACAATGCTGTGACTAAACCAGGAATTGCTGGAGTTGCTCGTTTTCATTTTTCTGTGCCCTTCCACTGTAACTTAACCTTTAGCTGTGGAAGAGTGGCCACCACAAACTCCCTGTAGCCATCGAAGTCCGTGCATGGGTTGCCCATGAGGAAGAGCTCCTTCAGGTGGATGTTGCACTGCAAGGTCTTGACACTGCTCAGCTCTCCAATGAAGTTCACAGTCAAGTCAAGCTTTGCCAGCCCTTCACATCCTGTGGAGAAAGGAAAGGAAGAAAGAAGAAAAGTCACAGTGTATTAAAATGTGTACAAAAGCACTTTACAGGTGTAAGAATTACAATATTTTAAATCTGCTGATTAACTGCGTTGCTTAACAAGAAGTGGATTTTCAGAAGTACCAGCTCAAAGGCTTAGTCTTGTTTCACTTTCCTATCTCCCCTTTTTTCCAACCCTCTGGTCCTCTGGCTAGGGCAAATCACCTTCCCTGCTCACCTCTTCAAGGCCCAGCCTGGGGACTGCTTAGATCTGGCCACTTCCAACATGAAGAAAGCCAAGGTGGTGGCCACAAGGGTGGGCATTACATGATTGCAAAACTCCCCATGAGGAGGTCCCAAGGTGTCCTCCTGGGAGTTGCCAGGAACACAGGACATATTTCATCATAGAAGATGATGCCCAGCGACCATCATTTCACAGCCAGCCAATGCTACGTGAACTTGAATCAAATTCAAATTTGACTTAACTGTCTTCACTCACTCACATTCCATGGGAATTTGGTGGTTAGGAATTAGGAGTTGAAGTCTTCCCTCTGTCTCATCCTTGCTACTATGACCTTGGACAGACAGGTTACAAGCCTTGGTCTCCTCATCTGCAGAATGCTAACGGTATTTGTAACTCCACTGGCACGTGTTGTTGTGGAGTCAAACTATGATGATTCCTGTGAAGTGCCTAGCATGCTCCCTCACACCCAGAGGGCCTCAGGAAGACCAGCTGTGACACAGCCACCCAGTGAGCACTCTTCTGATTATCACGTGGCTCCCTCCAGTGCTCCCACGGGAAGCACTGTTTTCATGAGCAGAGAGTTTGCAGTGAACTAACAAGAGCTGGGCTGGCCTATGAAGCAGCCATTAGGTCTGGTTCAGTGTCAGGCTGCCTCTGCCTGAGACCGGCTGGTGCCCCTGGGACTGACATGGCAGAGTCTCTACCCTTCAATACTTGGGAAGTCCATCCCAGAAAACAGTGAAGATCTACCTGTCTGCACTTATTTCTTCAAACACCTACACAACGCCCTTCCTTTATGCTCCCTGATTATGTTGCTTTTTCTGTCTCTGTTTTGTGGCTATTTAAATTAAGAGTAAACTTTGGTTCCGGATAGCTCTCCACACTGGTTCATCACTCTGCAAACTGCATCACCCTTGGTAAGGTTGTCCTCATTTCTGAAAGCTTTACAATGGAACTGACTTCACTGAATGACAGCGTCCCTTCACCTGAACACTTTCTCGACTCTAGCACCTGACTCCCTTTGTCCAGATTCCATGTTTTCTTATCTAGTCAGACCCCAAGCCAGTCTCCTCCAAAACCTAGTTGTACCTTGGTGTTCCCAGACCCAGATCTCACTCACAGACCCATCCACCCACCCACCCTTCCATCCCTCCATCCATGCAGGAGTTACTGGGATCCTGCTCTGTACAAGTTACTCAGCCAGATCTTCAATATACAGTGATTTTTAAAATTCTGTTGTCTCTGGCCTCTCAAGCTTATCTAAGATACAGAAAGGAGACAGAGATGGGTATTCCAGGAATGAAAAATTAAATGCACAAAGGCACCAGGAAGTGAGGAAGAACCCAGAAGTAGGCAGTGTAGACACTGTAACCACCCTGGACCTGCAGCCCCTGGTGCTTCCTGCCCAGTCCCGACTCAGTGCTCAACCTTTGTTCTTGGCTTCCAATCCCAACATTCTACCACGTTTTCTCCTCTTGAAGCAAGCAACGATCTTCACATTAGCAAGACTAACAGAGCTTATTTTATCACTAAAAAAACAATTTACAGCATGTGGCATGAATGACCATGGATTCTCTTTCAAACCTCTCAACTGTCTCTCCTTGTTCTCCTTACACGGCCATCTTTTCCTTTCCATGTCTTGTAGGACTTCTCCAACTCTTAATTCTAACCTGACCCAATAGTCTTCCAATATACAACAGTGAAGGTCACTGAGTTAACTAATCCCAGACTCTGAGGACTCCCACATGAAAACTCCATATTTGACCTTCCTGTTGAATGCCATCTTCCTATGTCAGAATTCCTGTAAGACACAGCACCTTCAACATATTCCAAACAGAACTCTCCTCACTTCTTCTCACTCTCCAGTCATCAATACAGTTTCTCTATGTCTAAATTCTATTAGTGTCACTACCATTTTTGTGTCAAATGTGAGTTTGACACCAAAGGTCTAATCATGAACTTGAAAAATTATTCTCTCAACCACCTCATGTCACCAGCCAAACACTCCCAGTCTTAACTCCTCAATTCTTTTCTATACTTCCTGTCCACTCTAATTTTCTTACCTACACTTTAATTCTTGTCACCTTTTACATGGAATATGAAAATAATCTCCTGAATCTATCCATCCCAAAAATATAGGAAGTAAGGAAGAAGGGGAAATGGGAAAAAATCAGGAAAATGGAAGATAAAAAGTGGAGCATCCTATCCTATCATGCCATGAACCAGAGAAGAACCCAGAGAAGGAAAAGAGCCATCAAAACACAGGGGCCTGATTGAAAGGGCTCCTTCGACCCAGACTTGGTTAGCAAACAAAATGACAGTAACATTATCCACTGAATAAAACCAGAATCCATGAGTCCATACTGATTTCGGGAACCATGAGTGAATGAGTAAATAAATAAATGGGAGAGCAGGCAAAGTTCTTTCTTAAGTAGAATTTCATCTCATAAACATAAAAGGAACGGCAGAATCACAAGCCATTAACGAATGCCCAAACACGTATGAAAGCATGATGAGGAAGAAGATAGACACACAATGTCAGAGTATCTTCCACAAGTTACGCATTGATTAAAACATGAAATGTAATGACTGTACAGCAGAAAAGTGTGGTAGACACAGCCTTTCCCTGAGGTAGACACGGCCTTTCCTTTCCTGGTGACTTGCCTATATTTCCGCATGACAGTCACTCTCTAGTGCATACATTACCACATTGTAATTCTCTGTATGCTATCTGCCATATCTGATATTCTTCCTTTTTTGCTTGAGTGTTGACCTATCTCCCTCAGTTAGAATTCATGCTCCCTGCAGAGTGGGACCCTGTTTTGCATAGGGCTTTATTTACTACGCAAAAAAGACTCCTTGGCATAGGGAGGCCTTAGAAATACTTGAGGAAGAAAGGAGAAGGGAGGAGCGAGAGAGGGAGGGAGTAAGAGAAGAATGAGGAAAGCCACAAAGAAAGGATAAATGGGTAACTGGGGCAGATCAGTCAACAGGGAGGTCAGTTAGTGGCTCAGGTGAGAACTCAAGGAAATTCAACTTCAAAGATAAGGGAGCAGCAGAGGGAAAAGAAGGGAATTGACAAGGCTCAGTCTGGGTCAGATTCCATCACTGCCACCAGGTGACCATGATAGCTGAACATTACGTTTTCACAAATATACTTTTAAGAAATAAATCAGCACACATTAAAAAAAAAGAAGAAAAGAAAATTTTGTGCCCAATTTGGAGAAATTGTTAAGCAAACTCTAATAGAATCATAAACTTTTAAGTAACAGTGGAAATGATGGTTATCAAAGCTATATCAGAGCATGGGGGAAGCTCAGATCTGAAGAAAGTGGAAAAAGATACAGCACTGCCCTGAGCTACAGTTACAACAGGGTACAAGGACAGACAGGAAGAAGACACTCAAAAATGTCACCAATAATGATGGAATTAAGAGTACCCTTTACTCTAGTTTCAAAACATTTGCAACATGGTTATATTTGATATTTTGAACATAAATAAACAAAAGGAAAAAATATATGAAATTGATAGAAAACTAAGGTGTGAGTCACCCTGGTGTCCTCAGGTGTCACRGATAAGCCCTCGAGGCGTAGACTGRGTTAGTAACCACGGGGCTGATATACCGGTCCAGTGCTTACTCAGTATGAAGCTCTTCACACGCAGTATCTTACTGAATCCTTAACCCTAATACTACGCCCGTGAGAGACGGAGTGAAGGATGGGGGAGAGGGAGAGCGAGAATAACTTGTGTCAGAGAGCTGAGTGTGGGCGCCTGGCTCTGAGAGGCTGCCCTCTGGTGCGCTCCGCCATTCCTCATGGACAGCGGGCATCCATCCCTTCTCCCCTCCCTGTGCCTAGTCCCAGTGCCTTGCCTGCAGCAGACTGTGGCCACAGTGAAGTCCTGGGGCCTCTAGGCTGGGCCACAGGCTCACAGCTCTCAGCTTCTGCTGGAGTTTCTAGAATGCTCGCCTGGGCAGGCCTGCTCCTGGAGTTGCACTGGGACCTGTCAGAAGCCACGTGAAAYGTCTGCCTACCTTGAGCTCAAGGTGCTGTGGGACCTGAGGCCCCTGGGAATCTCAAGGACAATGTGAAAGGACAAATTCTACATGTGTGCACAGAGGCCAAGAAGCAGCGCCAGGCAGGGAACCAAAAACAATCTTAGAAGTGGATCCTCTGACAGCGGGTGCTCCAGTGCTGCCAGAGACCCATGGGGGACCACTGGCCACCCCTGAGGCACTGAGAGAGAGAATTAGAACTCTAAAACAAGTCAACTCTGACCTTCCCAGTGATCTCACAGCTCCTGAATGGAGGAGTTGGGGTTTGAGAAGCCTCTCTGAACTGGTACACTTGAGGGTCTCTGTGACAGTATTTATTTTGTAGAATACAAGTTTGAGTCTACAGGTGAAGGCAGGAAAGGGTGCCTGGGCAGGACAGGCCTGAGTTCACAGTGGTAGAGAGGTCCACCAGCTGGAGAGCAGAGCTGGAGAGAGTGGAAGAGAGGAGGGATGGAGAAGGTTGATTAGTGGCTTAGTTATCGTTAGATGGGAAAGGACCTCCTGGTGCTACTGCACTATAGGAGGCCTATAGATGATAATAATATGCTGTATATATACATTTGTAAAAGCTGGAAGGAATTTTAAATATGTTCACCATAATGTGAATTTTTTTAAGGCAATAGATAAATTTACCTTAATTTGAACATTATAAAATGTAGACAAATATAAAAGGATGACTTAGTACCCCATATATATAATTGT